AACATGCATGTCGAAAGAAATATAAAATTACTTAAAAGCAACTTTACTTTTTGCAAGACTTAGCCATACATATTAAAAGTAAACAATAAAGTCCCTATTTGAGCCCCATTCTTTAAAAATTCAGGGCGTTTGATGTGTAGTTTTCATTTTAATTTTCTATTTTGAGGGTATATTTTCAAATTGTTAAAAATGTGTTTAATTTGTTGAAAAATTCTTTCTCAAAACTGAAAACTCAATAAAACTTTTGGTTTGAAATTTTAAGAATTATTTATGATATATATTTTCTTCAATAAAATTTGATTATTCAGTAAAATACAATAATTGATGTCAATCTATTATCAAGTAATGTATACATGTTAAAAATTGAGTTGGCACAATATGAAAAATTAATGATGTGAACTGATTTTTATCTGTGTTCATTTGAATATGTATATTATTTGATTTTTTTATATAAATAACTATTAAAAGTTTTGAACTATTTTCATTTTTTATTTAGAATTTTTATTGTTGAACTTTAGATTTTATTTTTTCAAAATTTATATATTTTTAGTTTTTAGAATTTATCAAAAAAAAAAAAATTTTTTTGAATTTTATCTTATAGATTTTAGATTTTTATTGTTTTAAATTTTAATTTTTGTTAAGTGAGTACTAGGGTTTGAATCCTTAGCTTGGACATATTATAGGACATACATTGCACTACACACACATGACCATTACGCTTCAACCGGATTATTCTATTTCATAACACTCCGAACATTAACAATGTGTTATGAGTTGTATATTATAAATTTAACATTATTTTTGAAAAAAGTATTTTTAAAAAGACTAGACCAAACAAGTTTTGGTTATTTTTACAAAATTGAAAACTGAAAGCAACAAATCAAACACATCATTTTTAAAAAAAATCTTTTTCAACGATACAATCTCTCAATAAAATAATTTTACATTTAAACTTAATTTTTTTGCCTTACTTTTAACCACGCATTCTTCAAAAATCACTATTATAAAATCTATTTTTCTGAAAAATGGAACTCAAACAATTATATCTTGAACCACGCAAGGTGTGCAAGAGTAGTAGTTAGTGTATTACAACATATGTGAATTGTGAAAAAAGTGCCACGTCATCAAATGGACATTGTCCACAAAAAAAAACTTCTCCAATGAGAGATGGCATGGACACTATCAAGTTAAGATAGCAAAAATAGAAGAAACTAGAAGTTGTCAAGAAGATCCTCGACTTTTGAAGGGTCTATGAGACAACGTGATTCAGTATTTTTTTTTATTTTCTATTAATTTAATTGAGGAAAAAAAGACGTGTCTAACTACTCCTTGGGAAAAAAGAGAGAGAAGAATTCGAGCCTAAGTGAAATTTTAATCAAATTCGCGCAATTGTTAAGGTAGATCCTATTTGAGGCACTTGGTTCACTCGTCGAGGTTTATTGAGCCTAGGCTAGTCTT